AGCATAGTGAAATTTCACCTCATGAATCTTGTGTAGGTTATCAGGAGAAGCTGATCCTTTGGGAAAAGATATCATGCTGGGAAAATTGAAGAGTCAGGGAAAGAGAGGAAGACCTTCAATACAATGGATTGGCACAGTTTCTGAGCTTGAGTATATCAGAGACCTGGAGGATGGTACAAGAGTGGTCAAAGTTCACATCTGTTGTTTATAGTGCATGTAGTTCTGAGTCCAAGTTGACTCAATGTCAACTAACAACAATAGGAGTAGATGGCACTCAGGCTCTTCCACTAATCTTTCTAAAAGGGATCACGGATCTAAGTCCCAGATTGTAGAGGGAAATGTGGAAGAAAAATAGAAAACCCAGCAATGGAAATGTCCAGGCTTCTGGCTAGAACTTCAGAGATCATGACCTTTAGTCACTGTTTGAAATTGGAGCAAAACTCATCCTCGTGGCTCAGCTTTTAGCCAGACAGTAGACAGGCTTATAAGATGAACAGCAACTCATTATAATAATCAACTATGTAAGGTCAAAAAAGTAGTGTTTGGACAAGGATAATGATCAAAAGGCATAAAGGACTTGGTCACAAAATGGGCAAAAGGCATGAAAATACTCTTCACAAAAGGGGACATCAGATGGCCAAGAAACACATGAGGAAATGTTCAAAATCACTAGCAACCAGAGATCCACCTTGAAACAATGAGATTCCATCTCTCCCCAGCAGCAGTAGCAAAGTTTAAAGGACAGTAAACAATAATTTTCTGATTGAATGTGGAGAGATTGGGACTCTTATGTGCTGCTAATGGGATTGTAACTACTAAGGAAAGCAGTTTTGCATTTCCTTAAAAAGTTGAGCCTAGTGGCAAGAAAATGCACTGCAATCCCAGAGATATGCAGTTCGAATCCACCAGACGCTTGGCCAGAGAAGGAGGGGCAATCTCCTCCTGTACCAGTCAGATCCGATTTGACGGCGCGCGCACACACACACACACACACACACACACACACACACACACAAAGTTGAACATAGAAATCCCACATGCCCCATCTATTCCACTGCTAAGGATATGTCTGAAGGAAATTAGAATTGAGATACAAATACACACCTATGATCATAGCAGAGTTATTCACAATAGCAAGAAAAGGAGAATAAGCCAACTGCCCATCCATAAATGAATGGATAAAGAAACTTTGGTTTATTCTCCGATGGAATACTATGCAGCACGAATGAATAATGATTTTGTAAAATATTGTATAAATGGGAGGCTTTAGAGAGTGTTTTAATGAGTGAAATATCTAAGATAGGTAAGGATAAGTCCTGCATAAGACTACTATTGCAAAAACAGGAGGCAAGGTAAGTATAAATGTTCAAAAGGTGAATGGGAAGGGGAGGTGGGGTTGACAAGGGGGAAAACGGGGGACAGTCCTTGGGATAGCAGAGGTTGGTAGGTGGAGAGAAAGTGAAAGAATGGAAAATGTTTACTGGGGATTTGAAAAGATGGGTGATAATATGCATAGATCAATGATAATTTTGTAAAATATATAAGAATGTATCTGACTTAATCTGAATGTTCAGATTTAGAGAACATTCAGATTAAGACAGACTAGGAAGAAGGATTGGCCACCCACTTCTGAAATAGCAGGCCTCTGAAAACCTTATGCACAACAGAACACACGCAGA